CTCTTTACACGAATGTATGAAATAGATTCATCCAAAATAAACCATACTAAGCTTTTAATAACTGCCATCGCATAAACGGAGTTCGCCTAGGCATGATATACGGGAGTTGAAGGGGAGATTAATTTCATAGCATATTCAATTGTTCCTACAAATTGGAGCCAGATCCCAGGCCACTAAAAGTCAGAAATTAACTATCCTGATAAGGACATAGAATCTTTTCTTCAATTTTAATAGTAAATTGTTCGAAATCGTCAAATTTGTAAAATTTACTCAAATTCATCTTGTTACGCATCTATTGAACGAAATTGCACATTTACTTGTAAGTGATGAAATAAAAATACTGAGAACACATGATGCTCAGGGTAAGGGTAAGTTTTCATTGCAAATTAATCAGTTGTTCTGTGATAGGTTAGTACATTATAATAAACTGCTGAATATTTACAAGTGGTAAATAGTATTACTCGAGATGCACCCAAATGAGTTTTGTCTGAAACTGAAAACGTTTTGTATTTTAATTCGTATATTACCGTGATCAGGAAATATTTTCTGAAATTTGTGAACTACTCGTGCAGCAATAGTAGTTCAAAATATTTCATTAAAAAGCAAACAATTTATTGTAGCCAAATGTGTTTGTTGACAGCTTGTCATTGAGAAATCATGTTTGTCTTGAGAAATGTCTGAATATATTATCGTTAGAAATATACCGTATATTAGCTTCTGTCAGTTTTCTCGAATAGAATTACGTTTCTTAAACCACGGCATGAACACATCTCAAGATTTTTGCATTGCATTAAAACACAAACATTGGAACCTGAATATTAATGAGCTACACAAATCATTGAATTTGTGAACGGGGTGGGATACTACTCGGATTTAATCAGGGTATCACTCCCCGAGTCTCTGATCACAGGTCTAATCCATAAGGCAGCAGGTTAACGTAAGGAGAAGTAATCCCACTGTAGCCCGTGACCGACAATAGGTTCATACGCGATCCGTTTCGTCATGATTCCGGAGCCCATGTGCACCATTGGTTTGAGGTCAGGGTTTATAAACTCTCTTAGGGTCCTTCGTCTTCACCAACCTCGTTAAAGCACAGGTCCTCTAGGTTTCGTAAACAACACTTTCATCACAAGATGGCGAGGAATAGGACTTCCTTGGCAGTGGCTATATTCGCACGGCTATATGATAGGATTTTGAATGGGATAGTGGGCTTCCACCACTCTCGGCCATACCAAGGCATTTAGAGGCTGGTGAAATGATAGAAATTATTAACAAAAGCAAAATTCAAACTATTTTTTAACTTGGATCACTGTAGTGTAGTTTCACATTTATCTATTTACTTCTAATTTGTATAATGAGTTTGACTATCAAACGGAGAAAGAATTGCTTCATATAGCATGATCTACTTGATGACATACACTTTTTCAAAAATAAGCATTTATGAAAGTTTTGAATAGAGAATGATTTCTTACAAAAAGTATTTCAGAATTTAATGGCAAATTTTCCTGATGAAGAAAATGAATGAGATATGGATTTCATTAGTTCGTTCTACCATCAATCAAAGTTCAAACCTGAATTGCTTTTTGGAACGATGAAGTCAGATAAATTTCGATTTTCTCATTTGAATCCACTTTTGCACTTTCGTTGTAAGTTTTGGTGAAACTAATAGTTAACCTGTCCACTTTTACCAATTTTTATTTTGAATATAAAAAGAACTTTACGGGACTCGGGAAAATAGGCAGCTCTATATAGTTCAATAGAGAATCTGTATTGGTCCACATTCACAAAGGAGAATATTAACTGCGGCAACTTACAGCAACCATATACAAATTGAGCTCTTAAATCTGTAATATACGTTCACACTTGACTTCTTCCTTGTTTATACACTTTGTTGCATTGCACTACTTATCATTACTCTCAGATTTTGTTCAGCTACTTTTGGCTTCAGAATTTAATACGTGACTGAATAAAAATTCGCGAACTAATCTCGTCAAAAGTATTTGTTATAGCACTCAAGTGAAACATACTCTAATAGGGTTATCAAGTAATACTTCTCTGAAACAGCTACATCGATTCACAGAAAAAGAAAAGCGTGTATATTGTGGAAGTTATGTTTAGATTACTGAGAACAATTTATAAAGTGTTCACTTATTTGAAATATGAATTTCATTTGGTCAACAAAATAAGCTAATTCATGAAAATTTGTAGAAAATTACGTCTGATTCAGTCGTTTTAATAAAAATCAAATCATTCACACTAATTTATAACTATAAGATTGTTCATGTGTAGTGAAGGTTAGGGATATTGTAACGAAGCTTATCATAGTTTCAGTGGCCTGAGATTTGACTACAGTTTGCGCTCGACCTCGTTTGTTTAGAAACCGTAGTAAGGCATGGAGAAAATACTAGTACATATAACTGTGTATGCCGGACAAATAAAACTGACTCAAATACAAAGAACATGAGTGTTTGTTTGAGAGACTAGCTCAAAACTCTATGTTCTGATTCGCAAAACAGTGTGAAATAGTAGTGATTGTAGTAATCATGCGATATTTGAGAGCAATGAATGTATCATGCAGTTACATATGCGTGAACAAATAAGATGAAATTTGGTGAATGTATGGATATTATAGCAAGGTTCATCGATCAAGCAAGTGGCTACGAATATATAAGGGCAGTTAACGCAAGATTACCGTCAAAAATGGGGAGCAATGACTGCTGAGTACAAATGCGATGAACGAACATTAGTTGCACATATAGAACATAAGTCGCTAATACTGAGTGCATGACTCCAAACTCATGTCTGTGATAGCGTCGCTAACCGTTGCCAGAGTTGTGGCATTTTTTTCCGCTTTTGTCCTTTGACACTGCGTGTGCTTACAAGTTTATCCATTTGCTTCATATGGTTTTCAATTGTTACGCATGCACGTAAACATATCAGTTTAATATGCTTGAACTATCACGAGTTTACCTTAGCTGGAAAACGAGAGCGAGGATCCGGCGACACGACATGCTACTCTAATCCGAGTGTCCCAACCCCCCATTTAGTAGAAGACTTGATACAAAGTAGGAACTGTATTCTAAAAACATCCAGGAAGCACGAGGTCCGAGTCCCGGGCTAGGGATCCGGGTCATAAAACGTTACAGATAATGCGTATTTATACAGTTAGGTCGAACAGGAAACAACATTTAAGTCTGTGACATTGACAATTAAGACGACCAAAAAGAAACAACATTTGAAGTATGTGACATTGATAGTTAGGACGACCAATAGAATTAGACTTACAAACAATTATCTTAGGGGAAGAATATCCTAACATAATAAATGTTAAACAATACATAGGTGTACTCTTTATTATTTGGTATTTAGTAGGATCGCTCATTTGCTTCTACCTATCTGATACGTTAGTGGACTCATATCATAGTTGGTCATCGTCCTGAGGACCATCAAGTGAGAAAACAGAGTAGAATTCATGTAATTTTGAACCAATACGAATGCACTGTTAGCTGGCGAATCCTTAATGCAGTAGAATCTTTATAAGCGCTGATAGATATTGCCAATGATCACAAAAATCTACCAAAAAGCAATAAACATGCCGTGATATCGTACTAATAATTCGAAAACTGGAACATCGATAAAACTACCCAATATTACACACGTTCACTAATACAGTCAAAACAACTATAATGGTATATGAGAATGGACGATTACGTTAGATTTCTTGAATACGTTTCAGTCCCCGAATAATGGTGATAAAGATGTCCAATATTAATATTTCTAGACATTGGTTGGTCTCAAGATTGTCAAGATTTTTGTTTCCTGAAATTTGCTGAAGCTATTGCTATCGAGATGCTGAAAACTAACTTGTTTCAAAAGGAACAATTATTATTCCTTTGCTGTAGTAACAACGTAATTGATTATATTTATATCCTCTGCCCATGACTTGACTACTTTATCGAATCATTTTTTCGACTTTACTTAAACTCATAATTAAATGAACTTTACTCATTTATCTATAATTATCATCGGCTTTATTGAAAACGTTATAATCATTAACTTCAACCCTATGGTATCTTCCTACTATCAATGTCCCAGAATGCCCTTTTGTGTATGTGCTATTTGAATTTTTGTTACGCCATACTGATACGTATTCATATTAGCGTCCAACGAAATCAATTAATGTATTTTAAAGCTTTCTATAATTCTGATTTCGAAACATAATATGCTTTAAGCAACTACTATGAACCTAAATGAAATAAAGTGAGCCCATGTTATTCTGTTTAAAGTATTGTGAATCTGCAGAAAACAGTGGGCAGATACAAATTTAATTCTTAGTGATGAAAAGACACTACTCAATAGCGAAATCATTTCCTAAATCACAGATAACGAGTAAATTTCAGATGCAGCTTGATTCAGAAGATCAGTACAATAAAAAAATTCGCCTTAAATCTAAAAACAACTTTAAAACAACACTTAGTTGTATAGAGATCGACGTTTAGTAACTTATTGTTATGTGGAAGGACGAGGAAAACGAAGCTCATAAGGATCATCCATAAATGTTAGGATTAAACAATATACTGATGATTATTTTCTCTTCCTGTGTTGCTAAAACGTGGTACTTTTGATTTATACACTTTTCTGCAGATTTTTATGTCGATTTATCCATTTCCTTGATATAATGTACAAATAGGGAAGCACTGATAATCACTAACAAATACATATTTATACAAAAAATAAATATATTTACAGTAGAACCGATTGCGACTTTTGGGGTAAAAAGTTATTGTAGAAAAGATTTCACTGGAAGGAGATGGCCTGTACAATATGATGCTGAAGTCGAAATATTCACTAAGACCGAATAGTCTGGAAACTAGGTGCAAGGACCTAAGAAACAATGAAAAAAAGAATAGAAATAAAAGTAATATCCACGGAAACAGTGATATATATATATATATATGACTTTCCGACCGTAGCTGCTACCTTGACGTGGTAGTCGCGCTTGCCTATAGTGACGACCCAACCGAACAACTCCACATGTAGACCCTTCGGGGCTACTGCCGGTCCCAAGCCCGGATAAAAGACGAGGGTTGGGCGGGGGGTTAACGAACCCATCGCGCAGAAAACTAACTCGCTAAAAAACGCTAACAAGAAAAAATAATTCAAACTATACAAACCCTGCTTTGGCAGTTAGAAGGTCTTCATTTAAAAGTGTTATAACATCTCATGATCAATGCCGAGTTTCTGCGGAATGTTAAACTAACTGGTCAAAAGCATCTTTAGGTAGATTTACCAGAAGGATAGCAGAAATATAGTTATAACATGATATTTACATTAGGGATATCTTAGTTTACCGGTAAGATAAGAAATATTCAATCATATGCGTAGGTCTTAATTAGAACAAAGATATTTCAAGCTGATAAAAGGTGAGAACCGAAGAGGAACTGTTACGTTATCTACTGACATCATTAAAGTATAAATTACGTAAAGTGTACCAAATACCAAAATTTTCTGCGATTTTGAACCGATTGTAAATAAACGTAATGAAGGATAACTGTACTCAGCAATAAAGAATTTGCAGGACATTAAAATGAACAATTATTGAAAAGAATAAGTCCGTCAAACGCAGACAGCCATGCATTACATAATAATAACGCTACAAAATAAAAAAACTAACCAAACTTATATCTTTACATATATAAGTAGGCCTAACTCACCAAGATAATCATCCATTAGCGTGCCGACAGCGAACTGTGAAAAAAAATTCGAAATCAATGCTAAGGATATTGAAACAGTACACAGGCAAACGTGTATGGATGAAATGATAACTGCACATTACAAAATCAATAACAGCATTCATTCGCTGATGAAGAACTATTTCAATTTTTCAGAATTATGCAACAAGAAATTCAAAACTATGACGTGAAAAACTTAGATGTTTGTAACGGAATAAGCATATGGAAATACAGCACACGTAAAGAAATAAACATAGAGACCAGTTCAACATGATCAACATACAGCCAGGAATAATTGTACGTTGTGGTGTTTAGTTCTCTGAGCTCAGAGAACTAAACACCACCACAATCATCCACCTGAGCTACAAATTTTCTCCACCATCTCATAATTGTACGTCGGCCCACAGTCCCATGGCACATCAGTAGAGCAGGATGAATAAGGAGGACACACAGCTTCGAAATAATATTATCAAGTGAACCTTACGTACAGGTTTCTTATATTCAGTCGCGGTGTTGAACCACACCAATCATGATGCAACATTCTACGTTTAGGGAGAGAAAAAGCATTTCGAGTACGCTTGTATAGTTATTTTAGGTGTTAAAAATACTGTGTTGTGCCAAGTTCTTCAAGAAACAGAACCAAGACATTGAATAAGGTCAACAAGTGAACCAATAAAAAGATATAAGTTCTATTAGATACCTAAATATCAGAACCATTGATTTAAACTTTACGGGGACTTAAATACGTACTTAACGAAGTTACTTAACAGGCACATTTTCAGAAGCATGTTAAAATAAAGCTTTTTCTGGGGGGTTATGAAATTTTGTGTAATACGTCACGGGTTATCATTTGGAGAAATACTGAAAACTAGGGTGCATTAACCAACCATATTGGTCTTATCCGAGACAATCACTAAGCAGTCTACGATCCTACAACGTAATGAATTTAAAATCTCTAAGTTTTCCCATTAGCATAACTCTTGTTGGATTTCCACATCCAACCATTTAGTCAATTACTTAAGTGAATGTTTAGAATTTAATTTATGAAGTTGCTGCAGCTAAGAATTGGTCTGTAAATATGGAAAATTTTTTCTGAGCAGCCAGCCAGCTACTTACAAGTGAAGGGTTGCCGATAATGTAATTTGAATCAATCACTATTTCTTAGAATGGAGTGAGGTATCTTAACTGCTTTGATTAAGTTCAGACTACTACCAAAAGAGGCAGTATCGAGGAATAATTGGTAGCCAATGCGACACAGGCACTCCTTTTGATAACACGAGATATACACAAGTTAGTGGTATTTCATCTACAGACTACATTTCTACGATGACAATAAAGCTTGGAGCCGATATACAGTAAAAGTGTCAAAAACGCATCGAAAATTACCTTGTCAGCTACGTTTTCACGTTTAAAAATTTACATAGATTATTGAGTCAGTAGGTCAAAATAAAACCGAACTTGACAAAATGTGTCGCTCCAAGTTAGGCTTAAATGGAAAACATGTGTGAAGGATTGGTTGATTTAAAAGTGATATGAGAGTTTTGGACTATCGTCAAATTTGCTAAGCACGTCCGGTGCAACCCTTTAAACAAGCAAAACTCACGATATCACTGGCATCAACTCGGAGGCCAATTATACGGATCCTAATACGATCTTCAATCTGTACTGTTTGGCTCTATAAGACAAACACGAAAAATTCACCAGGTGATATGATATAAGGGAAGAATGATAGCAATATCAAATTTATGCTTGTATGTATTAAAACATACCTCTTCTTCATCATCATCGTTGAGACCATCGGTGGTGGTCTCAGCGCCTTCAAATTTAATATTGGACGGAACAGACTTAAAGTATATTAATTAATGGGTGCATACGTATTTAGAGATAAAAACGGTGAGAGGACCAGCTTCTGCAAACACTCCAACTTTAGTAACCTGGGTAACGATGGCATCTACGACCTCACCCTTGAACGGCCGATAAACGATGGCACGATATACTATACGGTACTGCACAAATCCTCTGTTTGGCTGTATTATACCAGCACCAATATGCTCTATGTTTGTAACAGCGATGATAAAGCCATACCTGTACATCAACTAGGAGCACTAAATGACTCACTTTCCAGAGCAAGTTCCTTCAACGTCCGAAAACAATTTAGTCTTCACTGTTTCCGTTAGATTAGGCCCAAAATACTTTGGGTGTAATAAAATTTCATGCTCTAGCTTTATCTATAAAGAGGAACATATCCTATCAAACACCAGACCTTACGTGATAAAACATCCCGGCTCGTACCGTCCAACTCGTTTTTCTGAAGAGTAGGTTAAGATGTCCAATAGTTAACTAGAGGACTAACGTCAACAGCAGGATAAAAGAACTATTCTCGCGCCAAGCTGTTGTGTTTTAGAGCAATTATTTCTTTATGAATACATAGTGAAGAGCGAAAATCATCAAAAAATGAAGTTCGAATTTGATAGTCTTCAGTCGTCTGCAGTATCCGATATCTTTTAAACGAGCTAGTATAAACCACTTGATTTATTCGCGCTTGTACTTTCGATACTGTTTCTGGTGTTTGGTAGTGTCCAGTGAATTACTGTCTAGCCATTCGATTGTCTAATTCTAGTCAGCTGGTAGTTATTTGTGAGTACCTTTGGATGGGTACTCTTGTTTCAGGGTAGTAGGGTTTCTGGATAACAGCAGCTGTCATGTTACCTGACCAGTGATGACTTAGTTAAAATACAGAGTATAATAAGGAGAAAAGTCTAATGCTAGTAAAAAGGAGATCTCAGAACTAAGTAAATATATAGATTATTTAGCTTATTAACTGGTAGTGAAGTTTCTGCGAGAGGACCTGAGTGTAAGAAAGGGAGAGTAAACAGAGATGATAGGTGAGATAGAGTAAGTCAGTAATTTGAGGAGATGACAATAATGATGACTAGCAAGTCTCAAGGAATGCATCAGCTACAGCTTGTCCATGAATGAGATGATAATCCTTATGGGAGTACGTGTTTATTAAGTCTCTTCTTCGACCTGTCCACTGAGGGGGCTGTGGTCACCTCAGCTGGGAGAGCATTCCAAGTTGCAACAACAGTTAATGAGGAAGAGTGTGCACGAGCCTGAGTGTTCTCTCTCAGATGCGCAATGTTCCGAGGATAGCTTTGAGAAGAGTAGTGGTGATGCATCGGTAAGATACTAGTTAAAATCAGCCCTAGATCCACTAAACTAACAAATTATAAGATTCCGGATGATTCAGAACGACCTAAATTTCTTTAGACGATGTGGTAATGTGGTGAGAAATTCGGTAACACAGAAACTTGAACTACAGAAACAGGTAGCGAAACGCAATTTTGGTTACCTGTTAGAAATCCTACTTTGTGATCGGTTGGTAGCTAGGATTGATATTTCTAATTAATAAAGGGAATTAATTCAGAATCTTAAAACAGAATGTATTACCTATGAGGCAGTAAACGACCCTGATTTTCAGCCTGGGATTTTGGGATGCTTTTCCTGGTTGTTGCAGTGAGTTAGCTACTCAGGCCACCCAAACATGCGTTTGGTTAAGTGGTTTCGATTGCGGTGGAAATATGAGAAGTGATTTATCAAAAATTGAATAATAATTAACAAAGGTGATCACATATACTATAAATGTTTGTCATGTGATAAATTACATGCACGTTACACATACGTCTTTCTGTACTCTGGATGCTTTCAGTGTCGTAAAGTAGGAAACATCAAGTCATTATGTAGAACTTCTGTGCGATCTGCCCCCTAGTGGAAAGAATCTTCGTAATTGGAGTGTTTCCGACCATATATTATCATTATCAACGACTTCGAAAGATACAAACTGAATTCAGGAGTGTTTCCATACCTTGATTGGTTCATTCCATGATTTTATTGTTGACAAAGGCAGTACATTGTTGGATGGTAAAACCCCTGGAAAATTTGGATATTACAGATTGACACTACAGACAGAACTCCTGTTTTTGAAGCGAAAACACAAAGATAGAAGGAGAAGACATTCTTAATCGATTGCATGGTCCTAAATTATTCTGGAGAGTTGATTAGATCATAATTCATTCATTTTGAGACTGATTGAGGTTGGAAACAGAGTTCAGAGAGGCAGTTGACATGGAAAAGCAGCATCAGCCTCATCGAGTAGTTAAACCCTGCTAGATAGTGAGGAGCAGTAATTAACCAAAATGTTCTGCACCACTGACATTAGTAGACTGAGGTTATCTCCTTTATATGGGGTTAACGATCAGTGATTTGTTATCTTATTAGGATCCATTGCGTAAATTATTGATGTAAATCCAAATAAGTGCTTATTTTGTGCATCTAATCTGGAATCTCTTGGACACCTGGTGGATAGTAACGGTTATAGAGCAGATATGAAGCGACTGACTCCACTGAAAGATGTACTTTCTCCGCAAAAATCATGCAGACTTATGTTCAGTAGTGAGTGATGTCCGATGTTATTCCAATTCCCATTCTTGAGCTAGCAATCTATTTCAAACCTTGTCATCTGTTCTCACTTAAATATGGTTCGGGACAAGATTTATGTCTGTGAAGCTTACTGAAGTTTATCCAAACTAATGCTGTTCTTTTAACTTACTCTTCTAAAGTACATCCATCGCTCATTGCTTACTTGCTGGGCACAGTTTTGGAGTAGGAAGGTACACCAGTAATCTTTATTTCATGTAAAATATCTGTTACTGGCCAAAATTACTCGCAAACCTGGCAAGAAGCAGTTGGATATTGAGAAAAGGGAATCTTTAGCACGCCTCGCCTGTTCAGACATGTCTTACAGCAGCCAACTGAGAAAGATATCGTCAGTCAAAAAATCACCCCTGAAAGTGAAATCCAGGGTTAGTAGCATCTCAGACCTATTAGAGAACTCATTCCGACTAGTGTGGCTTATTTATTTACAAGTATAGTGTACCTATCATCATCGACTCATTTTCTAAGTTGCATGAAATCCTCTGACAACTTCGATAACTTCTGAGTTCGCCATCCAAGCACTGAGTAAAATGTTCAGCAGGGTAGTTAACATCGTAATAGTGGCACTCAGTGGTTCTAATTCGCTGAAAATTCAGTGGCTGACTGATTGAACGGTACGGGATCGAATCATCTATTCACTTTTCCCAGATGCTCTTGTTCAAATGTTATAATGTGCCTTCTCACAACCACGGCAACTAGCGTCTCCCGGATGCCTCGTACGTCACACCTCGCGACCATCATTTCTCTATCTTTGATAGCTGTGGATTTCAGAAACCAGGAAGATCTACGTGAGGCGACTGAGGCTTGGTACAGGATGGGGAACAATCTTACTAGTCACATCAGATGTTGTGAGAGCGTGCTCCATAATAGACGCAAACTGGCGAAATCCGATCAAGCTCTTTGTATCCATGCTGAAACTTCGTGAGACACCAAGCCATCAACAATGATAAGATAAGTGAAACATTCAACTTGCTGAACCAAATCGCTCCCTTCTACTAGTTCAGGTGCCGACTCAAGTCGTTCTTAAAGCAACTTGTTGCATTTAGAGGGAGAGAATCGCATCCGGAACAAGCCTGCATTGTAGCTTAAGGTGGTCAGAAGACTGTATTTTGGCAGTGTCTTCACCAAGTAGAACTATATCATCAGCACATTCTAAGTCAGCAAGCGAGTCTCCTGGTCGAAGGTCCACCCCTGAAAAAGTCATGCGAAGATAAAGTCATTTCTAAGAGCATGTCTAAACCAAGGCCAAACACTAATGGAGAAAGTGGGCATCCCTGACGGGCACCACTTGAAGCGAAAAATTCTGATGACTCGGCCAAAGGTGTGTGCGCGAACTGAAGCTATATTACACCAGTAACCATGTTGAGTCCCATCAGGGGCAGCAACCAAAAGACCAGCTGCGACTGTAGTCGAAGTACATTCGTTGGAGATCTCGTGATTTCGAAATAACACCAAGATCCGTCCGAAATGTACAGGTGGGAGTACCAAGCGTACCCGATCAAGCTCAAGGTTAGTAAAAGAAGGAAGACGTCTGTTTTAGGTACAATTAAACAAACGAGTATAGTAAAACAATCACTGGTACAACGGGTTATAATAAAGAATTTTGATATTTAACCATTCGCATTCTCTTCATTGAAGTTGAGTCACTACAGGTATTCGAGCAGAGTCTGTATAAAGTTAATGTACTTCTTTGCTACCCTTTTAAATGACAGATACTGTCACAGAACGACACGATTCTCCCGCCCTAAGGTGGGGGAATATAACGATTGTCAGACAATGGAACTAACTAAGTGTGAATTTGTGATCTATACATTCACGTCCAGGTCTTAAACCAGCCTGGTTTTCCTGAGTCTGCTCTTTACGAGCTCTAGTTTGGCGTTAGAGTATTACTGAGGCTAATATTTTAGATACTGTATTAGTCAAACTAATTCCTCTGTGATTGTCACAAGAGGACAATTGCCATTCTTGTAGACTGGGACAATCAGTGATTAAGACCAGCTGGATGAGATGATGTGCAACTCCAAAATTTTACTTAAGATCACAGTAACTCTCAATGCTAAGACTGGATCACCATACTTAAAAATCTTAGGGGTTAGCCTGTCCAGGCACGCTACTCTCCCTCGCTTCAAATTCCTTTTAGCCATTGCAACGTCATAAAGAATCGCAGAACCCACATCAACATGTTATTCTGGTAGACTGGTGATCGTGGATTATAGAAGCGTCACTGGGTGTCAGTTGAACTAATCCCTAAGGTGCTCCGTTCATCAATCCAGGGGACTGGACTGAAAATGTACAATAATCCAATCTTGTACTGAGGTAGTATTACTAAAAGTCGTATTCCTAATTCCAGTTTCCTTGATAAGCCTGAATAGATGTCTACTGTTACCTGTCATCGCTGCCATTTCCATGTCTATTGCTTTCGGTGCTAACAGTTGTTCTCGATCATTGCGTAGGCTTATTATCAGCCTGCGATTAAGCTGGATGCACTTCTTATCGCATTCAGAGCCAGATCGAATGAGTTTCCGAGCATTTATCAGTTTGATAGATGCGACTGAAATCCACGGCTTCCCCCTTACCTTATGATTTACCTTACGAGCAGATATTACCATTGTCTCCACAGCTTTTTAGACATCGTTCGAAGCTACCTTGGGCTGATAACCACTTACATGGGCGCCCAATTGTTTTTCGAATTGTCCTTGAAATATATTCTCAACTATGCTGCCTTTGAGTAGAACTCTAGGTGTTTTCGTGAAGTCTCTCCCTTGAGTTTAGTCAAAAGAAGAGAAGTATGCGCTCGTACTAGAGCATAATCTGGATCTAAACTTCTGCTCCAGAATGAGCGACAGTCTTCTTTCAGACCACTCCATCTGTAACTGTTGGCAATGTGTTTTAGCAGTGTCTTGCGTTGAACTTCAGGTGCTTTAACTTAAGCATAAACTTGGTATTTGTCAGGCAATTATCTAAGCATAGTTGCAGCAGACGGTCGACATTATCTGTTCGATCAGTCGTGCCATCATAAGATCCACTCAGTTGTCTTTCCGTTTTGCTCAATCTACTTACCTGAGGATTGAAGTCATCAGCCACTATTATCACATCAGAGTGCCTATTTATTCGAAGTAGGTCCGAAAGCTTTCTGCAAAACTCATCATTTAGTTAAATTGAGCTGCAGCCACTGGGGGCATAGGCAAATACAACGAAGAGGTAACGGCGATTATCCCTATCTTTCGCAGTCCTTACTATCCCGCTGAGTCAGACATCATATAAGCGACCATCTACTAGGAACTAGTTTAAGAGAGCTAGTTCTGCCCTAGGACTGAATGCAGTACCTACACCAGCAAGATCGAGAGACAGCAGCAGGGCTTCTAGATACATAGAACGTAAACCAAGTTGGTTTTTCATCTGGAAAAGGTGAAGTCAGATCGCTCACTGTACTCGGATCCCGCTTGCGGGTTTCGCAGACGCAGAGTACATCGATGGCACAAGATTCTAGGCTCCTAGCTAAGGACGCTTGTTGCCCTGTTTAGCACAAGGCTCTAACACTAAAAGCTCCAACACGTAGTTTATAGCATGGTTTAAGGAGGCCATGAATTACGTTTTGTCAACTCAAAGCATTTGGTTGTGACCAATTTGGTCTCATGTGCGGTTACGTTTATGAGGGCGGATGTTAATTCCCGACTGCCTACAATGTAGAAGGGTGTTTCCTGAGGAACCTGAAAAGGAAGGTAGATTATTGTTGGTCTTGACGACTTGGGAGCGTGACTGTAGAGCCCAAGGGATGGCTGCTTGAAGCCGGCAACGCACGGCCCTTTTATGAGAAGTTTCTAAAGAGTTAGCTCCGTTCTTGTTAAAAGCCCCTACCGCCGGAGACGGAAGTCCATGAGGTAAGGTGAGGTATGAAATTTTCAGGGTCTATCTTTTCTAACCACTTCCTTCGTTGTGAGAATGCAGCATCGCTGCAAATGCTGGTTGTCCGACGGAAACACCTTACTGCTGTCACACCTCTCTGCAGTCAGCATTACCACTTCGCCGTCAGACCTTGAGTAGCTGCTTTTAGTCTCTTCGTTCTTCAATCGACCTGTCTGGCACGGTAAAACCTACAGGAGCAGATGTTCCGTGCAATATAGCTCATCTTGGTCATCACGATAGACAAGTCCGACCACCACGTCAAGGCAGCAGCTTCGGTCAAGTGTACGTGATGCATTTTTCGAAACTAGCTTGTTGTTATCACTGTAATTATTTCAGCTGGCTAACTTGTCTTATCCCGCCTATTGTCTCTGTTTTGTCTACTGCTTAGATTTTTGTCTTCTCACAATCTTCAACACCATTCAATTAACTTATTTGATTATTGACATAGTTCTAAAATTTTCCGCTTTTTAACAGCATTGAAATTTTCTCTTCATCATTCTGAATATTGCAACTAACTGATCTCCGGCCTAGCAATGTGATGGCTACTAGTATCCAGAAACCCTGCTTCCCTGAGACAAACACGCAAATTACGAAACATTCAAGTTCATAAACAGCTGCCAAATGACTGAAATCAGTATAGTCGAGAGACTGGAATACCATACTTTGAACACTACCGAATATATGGAACCGTACCGAAACTACAAGAAGTGAGTGCTAAGAAACCAAATGTTTACAATGGCTCGTGAAAAAGTTATTGGATATCGGAAGGTCAGTTGGTGATTCCGCTTAAATCGGTGTACATAAGGTAAGGTGAAGCCGAATTGTGACAAAGAGAATATGGTTCTAAAATATCCAACCCTGAATTTTATTGTATCTGGCTGTGCATTCATAATACCTGGCTTATGGCTAGCCGCACATTCGTAAATATTTGATCCATCTTATGTTCTAATTCTCGGCTCTTGGACGCATGCATTGCCACCAAGCCATAATAAATTGTCTACTCCAATATCCAATATATTTTTCACAAGCTAGTATAATCTAATCGATTTCTTTGCCCTCGATTCTTGTTCTTTTGCGTATTAACTTATCATGTCCCTTCCTATCCCCTTTAATATGATCACATTTGCGAAACGGCATATCCCAAAAAGCCGAAATAGAAGCGAATTTGAGGTACACACATGAGACATTTATTCAGGTAGTCAGGGGGAACACACACTTTAATGTCATACTTTACTCCCATAGGAAAAGATTGCCATATTTCCTTTCGTGTCGCTTTGTGTTTTTAACCGTCGCTAAGTGTACAACTTTTTTCCAAAGTATATGTGACGATAATCAAAAGTTATCGCACTGACCAGATTCAAGATAGCAATTTTTTCAGTTTTACTTCTACATGTGATGTGTAGTTTTCCGTATGAAGGTGACCCAAACTAAGTGTCACTTGTTAAGCATCCCTATGATAGTTAGCCATTTAATTAGTATTACTATCTGCTTATTAGGCTCAATAGGGTCGACGCCTACCAGTAAGCTCACCCAATTATTTACGGCGCATATCATAACCGTATGGACTTCCGAAAGTGTAGGTTTAGTCACTTTGTGATTTCATTTTCGGAAATTTGCGCTTTACACCATCACTAGCAAGAACGTTTTTGTGCTCCTTATCTAACTTAAGCGATGATATCAGGTGATTAGTTTTATTTGTACATCCATTCTATATAGTTGCTCCTTGTTCGTATAAAATATTTGAGAATATGAATCACTAATTGCTGTTTGAGTCGCTATTCCTTTGAATCCTACGTACACTAGATGTGATAAATAATGGGCATAGAGTTGCAATATATATATATATATATTACAAATGACTTAGGTACAGTGAATATGGTTTTATCTGTTCACAGTTTTCCTAAACTCAACCCCAAGTTTAATTGATTTCACAAACTATTTCAGCTAATTGTGTATAATTTTCAGCTTAAGACTAATCATGAAAACCTTCTAGTTGGCCTCTGACGTTTGCTGTACAATCCTTATTTGTTGTGATTACCAAGTTACAAACCATGTACAAAGTCATAAAACCTTTCCGGGCGGCGGGATTTTACTGTTCAAGTAATTTCAATTCACATTTAGAGTCTTTTAGACTTAACAGTAAAGTATAACCATTCATCTGGTTGCCTTCAAGAACTGTTTACGAATCCTCAAATCCACAACCTTTTACGCCTGATTACTTACACAGATTCAGACATAGTTCACCAACGGCGCTATAGAAGAGCTGGGAAAGAAAGTGTTAAACTTCTAAGTGATGCTGAACTAAATACAGTAATACAATTTAGATTACTTATCTAACTTATACAAGGTTAAGAAATATACTGCCCTTTTTACGGAACAAAAGTTACAGATGCCTCCTGTTTTAAACCCAAGGACCCCCGTAAATGACCAAATTATATCGAAAGATAGCGGTCTTCAGGGGATTATTCCGGGAAACATTAAACTAGTTTTTACAGATACAACACTAAAGCGTGACAGAAAGAACCGTCTCATTGTAGTTAGAGAGTCGAATGGTGACTTAAGACATGCAAATCCTTCTGAACGTGATCGTATTAACCAAGTCTACTTTCCCTTGTCCGGTCGAAAGCTGTTTATTCCTACGATGTTTGAAGACAAACAGTTAGATGTAAGTCATTGTGTTATTTGTTAGTGTTCAACGTCAATAATGATAGAGAGTTTTACTTTGAAAGTAATCATAAAGCAGAAACGGAAAGGGTTGTTAATAATAATACAGTTTTATAACCAATTACAGATCGTTACTAAACTTTGAGATACGCTATGGAAACTGCAGATACCGACGTCTAAGGTGGGGTTCAAGATTTTAATTCAGTCTCGACCACCTCATAAATTTAGCGAAATTTCATGAAGTATCTTGCTGGCCAGGAGTTCTTTCTACCTCCCAATCATGAAATTGTTGAGGAACCTTCCTGGTTTCCCTATATGTTCCTACATGCTATGTTACTTGAATAGGATCAGAAGAGAACAAAACTTTTGATAAACACTAAAGTATGGCATCGGTCGGTAAATATACCGACCACTGGTTTAGTTATGAGATCGACGGCTGAAGTTCAGACTTGTTTATAGCAGTTTTGGCTGACAGCCAGGGCATCACGAACTCTCCCAGAAAATTGTTTAGTTCAAGGTCGGGTAGATAAAACTGCTCTTGACTACTATTTTATAACATTAAACCAAAGCTCTTGTTGTTAAGTGTGGTAATCCGACAAATGCGTTGTTGTTTGGCGTTTTATTGTTTGCTGTAGGTGCGAGATTCATTTTCATTTTAACAAACCCACTTTTCATTTATTAGGAATCACGTTAGGAAATGTGTGTTAATGTAAGTCACGATGCAAGGTGCAACAACTTCATTTGGTTACTCAAACTATCATAGCAATAGAGTTCCAGTCCATATCAGTCTCTGTTCAGATGCTGGCAAAGAGAGAGAAAAGGAATACAGTATGAAGTACTTAAACCACTAAGATCCTTTTTTAACATCACCAAATGACTCTTACTCTTAGGGTTGTACTGTTGAAAACCAGTGAGATAGTTACGTGCATAAGTCTATTTTGTAAAAGAAAGTAAACATTTTCTGGCAGTGAGTTTTCTATAAGTTTTTTTATCTTACATTTAATTTCCTCTCATCAGGCACTTTTAGATCAAGGCTCATTTTTGTACATTTTGGATAGAACATGTGTTCAATTTGAACCAGATGACCCTAACTTTAGTCGGATATGCCATCGCGTTTATGAACGTGTGAACCATTTAGCTTGGACTCCATTTGAAAGAACCTCTCAATCAACGGTCAGCAGTTTAACGAACCCATTGCTCTCATTAAGGCACACACGCCATTACGGTCCCTTAGCCTTATATATGATTGCCCAATTAGGTTCTCCTGGGCCACTTGTATATGAAACTCTTGCACATCAACACTACGATCGCTTAGGTTGGATACTTCGTTTAGTTTGTCTCCTTAGACCCTCCAGTCCTTTTTCTGTTCATACAAAGTCAAATATCGATTTGATACCTCCACCGATACAGAATGCTTTGATTTATACGACAGGTGTATACAAACAAGATATGAGTACGTCAGATATTTGCAAGTTGCTGGATTATGTTGAAGTAAGTATGTTTTCTCGAAACTTTTTTTCAGTAACTTTTGCGCCATAACTTAGTCAACCTATTTGGTTGTTAATGGTGGTACAAACTTACTGTATTGTGATCAAATAATTGAGTTATTACCGTTTAACTTAAAATTTTTATTTCACAAACTGTTTTCCAGTAAGAACTTGTTAGTCTAAATTGTAACCACACACTGTTCTACTGCATAAAACATGCAAGTTTCATCAGATAGTCTATAATTCTGTCGGGACGTATTGTGATTTAACTAATTATTATCAATTACTGACTGGACATTACTGGACATATGTATCCGGAACTATTCCTACATAACATCCTAGATGACTGAAAGCGATTTCATTAGTTTCCAGGCTACAGTTTTTTAATGTCCTTTTGTTTTTGTTCGTCTTAATTTTAATTCAAAATTTTGGCAGTTCCGGGCTTAGGATAATCATACAACTCGGTGTTATTGTTAGCCCAACTACTCAAGCTTGAGAACGAACATACTTACTGAATAAACCCCTTTTCTAAGTCTAGATTTCAGGCGATTTAGGCTAGAAAAATCAAGTCATTCAATATATGAAACCATCGCGAATTACTGTTTATCGATATTAAAGAAAAATACCTCATTCTATGCAATAGATGCAAGAAAAATTGACTAATATTGGTATTTACCTGATGACTATTTTACAGTTTACTTCATGAAATGACCTTAGCTAGACAACCATCTGGAACGAAGAAGCACAGGAAACTCGTTTCTTTCTAATCTGGAAATCAGTAACTATGCCCCCATCAGCTATCAAAAGCCAGACTGTCAAGTTCGTAATTACGCATTATGCCATTTACTGCAATTCTGATTGTCTGAGTAAAAAATTGTGAATTCAGTTTGTATGCCTGGACATTATCATTTTGAATTTATCCAGAATTTTTATATCAGTTTACTCTTTTTTTTAAAATAGCTTTTCATCAAGCTGGAACCTTTAGGTGAAGACAAACGAGTCATATTGGGTGATCATCTTCTACAAGCTCGTCAAAGTATCAACATGAACAGAAGCACCGAGTATAATACTTAATTACTCTCAATGTACATGATGTTAGTTTTGTTGTTAGGGAAAAAATTGTATGAAAATAAATAAATAATTGAAAGTAAACACTTGTCACTTCTCTTAAATGTATATTGAGTGCTTGTTTTAAAACTAATTATGAGACTATTCTTTAGCAATGATACAAGAACAATAATAATAGATATTTTTGTAATCCGGTGGTCATGGGTACATATTTAATCTTTAGGAATGGATTTATTAAATGTCATATTTCTCTTATCTCAGTAAGTAGGTGGAATTAGTATTTATCTACTAACCCATTCATGCATTTGATTTGATAGTTGCTTTAAGGAATTGTAAGAGTGGAAAAATAACTCTCAGAATTAACCCAAATGTCTAAGATACACATAGTTTTCTTTCCGGGATAGTATACTAATTTATTTGAAGATAAGCGATCATTATTCTTATTCTCCGGAATATCTATTAAATATCTGGCGAAATTCAGAAAAACCTTTATCTCCTATCTGTCTTATTACGGGTAATCCATAAAATCTTATGTCATGCAGTCCTCAGTGATATAAAAATCAACATGAGAAATTATTTAGTAGTTAGGGTTCTTACTTCCGTCACTTCATTTGCGATTATATCATGCACGTTTATCCGCCTGACATTGTGATATTAGTGTCATTTCTTGCTGACTTCAGTTTCCAATAAAAAATGACAGCCAAAGCAGTACCGATCTACTGAATCTTTAATATCGGTGCTCTGTGGGTTACTAGGCTACAAGATTTTTCCGAAGTAAAATTGATACTAATCGAAGTGGTGTTTTCTGTCATCCCAGAAGCAATTAAAGATAACTTATCCATTTACTCAGTCACACTTTGCATATAGTCATTGTTTGATTGGCAGTTTCATTCCCAAAGTTAGGATTACAGACATTCAAACGACCCATTGAAAGTAGTTGGTTACAGGATGGATAATAGAATAGTCTTCCGAAGGTTCTTTCAAATTATAGGCTAATTTCAGTCGACATCTTTCACTATACCCATCAATGTGTTACTTGACGTCTTCTGACTAGTTCAAATTTTGGACTAAGATAGATCATGTAATCAACTAATCATAGTGAGAGTGTGTATAGGGTTGACATATTTTAAAGCACTTTTAGATTTAGCCGCACTATATTATGCACAAAGCTCATTTTAGGTTTTGGTGTTCTCTATATTTGACGTTCGAATCAGTTGCACTTGGGACTGGTTATCAGAAATCTGAATCTGAGTATTATTCTAACTGCAGTTTATAGTATTTTCGACTGACGGATATACTTTTAAGAGAAATCAACTCTACCTGGCTACATTCCTATATAGAAAGTATTCATTAACGTGTTTTCATTGGTTTCTTTTCTCCCATCTAGTTTGATACTTGTTTTTTTCTTTATTTAGATCTAGTCCTACAGCCCATGAACGAGATTACGTTTTATGTGAGTACTGCCTATGGGTTGTTTATGTATCATTTTTGTGGGCGCCCATGGTACTCTCGTATTTCTCCTTCTCTGATTGTGGGCGCCTTACCACTTAAAAAGTTCTGGGATAAATGGCAAGCAGATGAAAATATCACACATATAGTGAGCATGTTGGAACCATTCGAAGTAAAATCATTTGTCGTAGGAGAAAAGGATGCAATAAATCATGGCATTAAGTATCTTTCTCTACCAGTTCGCGACTATGTAGGAGTTCCTACATTCGAGCAGGTGAGTATTTTTTTGTGTCTTCTTGTACTCAAGTGATCTTTATTCTTCGTTAACTCTTCGTTAACTCAATGTACTTCAGTCACTTATATGCTTTTTAGTCGACCAGTCTCAAATAAATATTGTTTCTTCATCTGCATGTAAAAAAGCGACTAATTACCATAGTTAATTTTTTTAATTACTGTGTTTCTTGCCAGCTGAAAGATAGATTCACATGATAAAATACAGTCCTAATGTAAGATTGTAATATTTTGCTGTTGAATGCAAAAATTGTTTACTTCCTTTTATTTCATTACTCTTATTTTATAAGCCGTATAATAATGTACTTATTAGAATTGGAAATTCATTTGTCCTATGTCTTTAAGGCAGAAAGTTCGAATTCATTTCAGGCTTTACTATTCTCTCAGAAAAACGAAAATTAGGAATCCTATTTCTGTAAGTCGTAGACAGGATATCTTATGAAGGCTAAGATATATTCTAGGCTATCATTTATGCTGTGGATAAGGGTTTCGATGTTTGATAGTGATGTACGTTTTAAGATTGTTAACATAATGAGAATGATAATCAACATATGGCGTTTAGTTATACGATGTAGTCGATTGATAAGACTCATGAAGCCGAATCGCTTAATTAGGTTTCCCAATAAATCAACTTCAAAAGACAACTAGCAAACACAATAAGGCTTTTCTCTTGTATAATAATGTGCTTAAAGTCATTATGTTGGATGCATAAATAACTATGGTCTTATCTCAATTAAAAAATAATCATTTGAGAGATACAAGTTTTTTAGGCCACTTAGTAGCCTCTCATATCAAGTTAGTAAACTTGTTTAAGAATAGCCATGTGCCGTAATCAACTCATCCATACTAATTCACATATAATTCTTAAGAAATCAATGGTAGTGATAACCAACTTCACTCTGTTTTTACGGAGATGTTACGACGTGCGTGTTGTTACCTTGATTTCTTTTGAAATATCTTTTTTTGGAAAATTATGAACCTTTGAGGCGATAATATTGTGGAATATACCTAACTGCCGTCCACCTCAGTATACTTTGCTAGTCAACAAATGTAAAGGAAAAGAAGACGAGGTGGTCAAACCAAGTCATAAACATCATTATGAAGTATTTGGAAATTGTGACCTGGTTGGCTGTCGATCAGGTAATCGTAATCTGTAATTAAGGTCCCTAGATAACAGCTGAAAGTTAGTGACAATGGCATAGATGTATTTACTTTTTTATGTATTTTTCTAAATCTTGAGTTTTAAGATAGGTTCGTACATCTTATTTCTAGATTCCATTCATTCTGTCTGAACTGTTTTCACTTGTTTATCGTCTTTGGTTTTATTATATCCACTTGATCATATTTCTTTATGTTAATTACCTATGACTTTGCTTGTTTTAAATATGGCCAATTCGTGCCAGGTTTTACATTGTTTGGGTTTATCTATCCACCTTCTGTTACGAACTATGTTTCTATATTTCTAAAAAAAGTGCGCATAGAACTATGACTCTTAGTATTAGATTCTATTATTTTCTATAATTTTTTGAAAAGATTGATGCTGGGATTTCATTTATCAACTCCTGTGTACAGTCAAACGGATGTGTATATATTCATTGTAAAGCTGGTCGTACACGTTCAGCATTTTTGGTAACTTGTTATTTAATGAATAAAGAATCCTTAAATGTTGAAGCAGCAATTGCTCGTGTCCAATCCTTCAGAAAACATATCACCTTCAGGTCATCACATAAAAGAGGTTTACAAAATTACTTCAAATTTTTGAATGATAGTAAACAAAGCAAAAATATGACCAATTGATCAAGGTCACTTACTCAACTGTATTGCCTCACCAAAGTCTTAGAAGTCATTTTCATTGATCTGGTACGTATAAGTTTTTATTTATTTTGTATATTTACGTTATTAATCTTTTGCTAATGACAATTTCATCATTCTGATTACTTTAAACTTACAGTGTTCATTAATAATTTATTTTCTTTTAAAAAAATGTGATTACCCAACTACTATAAAATTGAGGGAATAAGCTTTTCAGTTGAGTGAAATTTTAATAGCTTACACTACTCCTCATACTCAAAGCATTAATATGTGTTACATCATGGATTACAATATACTTAAAGTATTATTATTACTATTATGATTATGATATGCTGTATGTGCACTTTTTAGAATCGTAAAAGTATGATACTAACTTTATCATATATAAGTTAGTCACTTTATAAAGCATTTTTTCTCGAATGATATCAATGACAGTTGTTTTAGATGAAAATGTTAAAATTACAGCGATTTTAAATTATGTTGAAAATGACTTACAAGGTTAACTATCGTAAATACAGTTCATGGTTTATTTATAAAATGGTTGTTTTCAAGTTCATTATGTTGGAAATCTCAGCTCGGATACAGAAGGCTCGACTGGCTTTTGCCAACCTGCGTCACTTATGGCGTAGGCGAGATATCCGTTTGCTGACTAAAGGACGAGTGTACTGCGCAGTAGTTCGCTTCGTCTTACTTTATGGCTGTGAAACATGGCCAGTGAAAGTAGAAGATATTCGTAGGTTACTGGTTTTCGATCGTAGGTGCCTTCGAAGCATTGCTCGTTTATCCTGGGACACCTGAGTGAGCAACGCTGTTATTAGGAAACGGGTGCTAGGTAAGAATGGCAGATCAATAGATGAAGTAATGAAACTTCATCAGTTGAGGTGGTTGGGATACGTGCTGCTTATGCCTAACCACCGACTGCCTCGACGAGCTATGTTTTGTAGTGTAGGAATAGGTTGGAAGAAAGTTAGGGGCGGCCAGACCAAAACATGGCGGAAATCCATGAAGTCATCGACTAGTGGACTTAGCCATGTCGGTAATTGTCGACTACCTGGTTGGGGTCCGCGAGATGATAATAATCGATGGTTAGAGACCTTGAATGACATGGCTCAAAATCGTTCGCAATGGCGCCGGTGCATTTATTCTTTGTGTTCTCTCAAATCCTAATCTTCTGGGTTCTTCAACACCTCTAGTTTCTAAACGTTTCTCACTGAATCATACTTCTTGAATAATATCTTCTAATCCTAACCTCTGCGGTTACTTCTAATACCTTTAGTACCTCTTCTACTATTGGATTTAAATTGACAATAATATATCTGTGCTGATGTGGTATGGCAACATAAACTGATGTACTTACGTACGAAGTTCTACGTTGCATCTCACTGACTGACTGACTGAGTTCATTATGTTGGTAAGCTAATCCACTGATTTCTTTAAAGAAATACTTGACTTAATTTTATCAGCAATAGTTAAATTTAAACTGATAATTTACTAATGTGTTTATTTTATTGTATTTCCAGAAATGTGAATGTACACCGGTCAATCTTTGATTGTGTCTTATTTTAACCTACTACCTAGTCTGATTGGGCTTCGTGCATTGTTTTCAACAAAACATTCGTCTGACTTTATGAATCTGTTTTATTCTGTACATTTTTTATTTCTTGTACAAATCTTAGTTTTGTATGACAAAAAACTTATGCTCTTTTGAAGTGATTTTTTTTATTCTCATACTATTGATTAATAGGTTTTTATGAGAAATCTGTCCTTACATTAAATATTGAGCAATTGTATCTTTCATTTTTCAAAATAAATTTATTTCAATAATTCTGTGTTTTTTAATTATTCACAACACATTGTAATAATTGTTTGGAGAATTTCACAGTCTTGTTTTGTGTTCAAATGATTATCATGATTGTTATATTAAAGTCAAACTAGATAGTGAGATATCTTGTGGTAGCTAATTTACTTTCGAACATATTTCATCAAGTTGTGTTTAGCGTTACACCTTACTTTGAGTGGATCTACATCCATTGTTAAAAAAGTAACAATTCAGAGGAAGCTACATGCTGTGATCCCACATTGTTAACTCAACCATAACCGGAAGTATTACAAAATATTTTGGTTTTGCTCAGGTAGCTTGTTGCAACTGGGGTAATTCAAGCCCTAATAAATCAGTTAAGATTCATCGTCGAAAAACTCTGTAACATTTGAGTGAAGCGATTGGCCACTACTTAATTTAAATAGACAGCATCATCAGATGGCATTGAAGGTTTCAAACTACTCATCTCACTCATTAATTTGGATAAGGAAGTGGCTTTTGAGATTTTGCTGTTTTGATTATCATCCTAAGTTGAGTTGTGCAGTAAATTCCCCATCTATTTCTACAGTCTAAACCAAACTTTTTTTAATGGTGATGAACGGTGGCAGTGGAATCCAGGTTGTGCGTTTAATCCTTTTTGGCACTCGTCAGCTAGATTTATCTGCATCCTGAAGATGATGTTCACTCCAGACCAAAATTTAGTTTGAATAAATAGTCTTTCTGTCTTTAAGTTTGTATGAACAGTAGTCATACTAAAAACATAATTCTCCATCTTTCATCAAAACACTTGATCGGTACTGTGTTAAACTATCACTTGTATTCTTCTGCTCCATCGGTACACAATTCCTCATTGTTAATAGCTGAATGAAAACCAAGCAGTTAGCAAAATATTACTTTAGTTTCAAGTTATCCAACGTACAAAAACCTATATAATTGTTCCGTATTTGATTATTGATTTGAAAACTAATGAGAGTCGGACGTGTAAGTCGAAACCAACCTATTTTGAAACGTTGGTTTATTATAGTTTTGAAAATCAATGCTAACACGAGAAATAAAAGAAAACTCAGATGGTCTTACTAACATGTTGGTTTCAACAAGAATCTCTTGCGGGATTAAATAGCTCCTAGACTTGAAAAGCCAAGTTTACTTCTAAATACCTGTTTGTTGATGATTTTAAAACGTGTTAAACGTGTTGCAGTCAACTACGACCGGATGTTCTGATATCAAGCCTCTTGGGATTTCTTCCTGAAAAAATCTTAACCAATATTTAGCCAAATTTTAATACTTCATACATTTTTATTGGTAGTGGCGGTATGTCCCGTTAAGTTGTAAAAAACAGCATCTTAGACTTCACCTATTTTATTATTATTATTATTGTTATTATTGTGTAGTTATCGTGATTTTAGTCACTAATGTTTATTCTCATTTATTTCTTACGAAAATACTCTTTCATCTTTGTGTTGCCTCACGTAGGATGTACGATTCTGTTTTTTTTGACAATTTCTGGAAGTTCTAAGTACATTTAAATAAGAAACTTTTGGTTTCCAACTATTTCAGTACATTGACTCAAAATATTCATTTGAATAGTCAATGAATCTCAAGGCGTTTTCAAAGGATCATAAAACAGTTTCGGTAAATGAAATACTGCACCATTTCCATAGTATTTACTTACAACTTCTACATTAACTGGAAGGTTCACTATTATTTCTCTTATTTTGTGTTTTAAGGTATGAATTGCTCTGCCGGAAACGTTAGTGAACCTTATGATGATATCATAGTCATTGATGGTGATTATGATAACAACAATACTATTAATTCATCTTGTGATAGTGATGAAGAGGAGAGATTTGATTTAAATATCTCCTCTACTGAATGGGAACAAAATAAACCTGACTATTCAGTTGAAACATGTCATGATTCTCAAGGACAAATTCGTCAGAGGATGGTGAAGAAACAGGAAGTAGATAACAGCTTTGATTTGAATAAATGTTCTGCGAAACTGAAGCAAAGTGAACATGATTCTGTTGAAACGTGTCATAATTCTGAGGAACGAAATGGTCTTGGGATGATGAAACGAGAAGATATAGATACTTCCAAACCGCATTCAGATGGAAATATTCATCGATTACAATCAATAACTCTAGAATATCTAACATCATTTACAAACACATGTACAAATTATGATTGTTACCAGTTATATTTTATACTAGCCTTAATTCTAAGACTTGTATTAGTCGTTTTCTCTATATGGCAGGATACAGTTCGTTGGCCAGATGGCCAACTACGATATACAGATGTGGACTACGATGTATTTTCTGATGCTGCACAAGCTTTTGTCGCCGGAAAAAATATTTATATTGAGCGTCCTACTTATAGATATTCACCTCTTATTGCTGTCTTTCTTGCTCCTGGTTACTGGTTATTTTCTGATGGCAATTATTCAGCCACTGATGATGAAAAAGTAGGTGTTAGTTCAAAATTCGTTGGAAAATCAGTTGAACCACACTTACGATCATTAAAAAACGTGACTGTTCATTCTTTCGCTCATCTATGGGGTAAATTTATCTTCATCATGGCTGATTTAATATGTGGTTATTTACAATATAAAATTATTCAACATAAAACGTTTGTAAGTTATGTTTTATTTTATTCTGGTGTAAAATTCGTTTAACATTTATTTTTATGTTCTATTCTGACTCATATTTCCTGATTATCTGCGAAGGTAATGCAGTGAAGCGTCTGGAAGTGCACGATTTTCCAAAACAACTGTAATGAAACAGTGCAACCAAACCAACATATAGCCTCAGTCCAGAAATTCATTAGCTATTTTGTTTAGACCATTTGGGTAGGTGCAAAATGTCTCTTTGCAGTTCACCTAGTAACTGCAGTCGAAGATTGAACTAAGTGACTGAGAATTGTACAGAAGATTCATTTGGTTTTATATCTTATAGTTCGTGACTTCCAAGATTCCTACATACATACATACATATCCGTCCTCTCTGTTTTCTTCGAATCATATTAGAAATTTTCAATTTTCCTTATTATCATCGTCTCGATCTCTTTTACTGTTCATCTTACTGTATTCATTTGATCGTGTTAACATGATACGAAAACTCAAACCAATTCACATCTGTTCCAGGTTTCACTAAATTCTCATAATGTCTGTTTATTCATTAAAAGTGCACAAATATAAGTTCATAAATTTTTGTTTGTTTCACTGTTCGGAATTAGGTCGACTCAATATGCTAATTGATATGTAGCGCAGCGCAATAACCTATCGTACCAATGCAAATTGTTTACTGAATTTGAAATTGTTGATTGGTGAATTTCACGTATTGTAGATTTTTGTATTTTAAATTTTTTTTATTTATCAGTTAATGAATGTAAACAACTTCACGATTGACATTGTCCATCTATAATGTTTCTTTTGAAAGATCAATTTGTAATGCAAAGATTAGACATCTTTCGTTCTAGTCGATAACTTGGTAATTTCCAGTAAATCAAACATTACGTAGGGTTTGTAATGTTCCGATAAGCAGACAATTAAATTTCTGGCCTTTCGCAACTTAGTGTAAATCTCATTCTCTATTTAAATTCTCATCCTACTCCTGTAGGAATTACCAAAACCAATTTTGTACTTCTTTTTTGCGCCGAAACTAATTTATCTTTTTGAGTAAAATAGTGAGGGAATATTGTTGAAACATATAATGATGATATTGTTTTTACTCAATGAATCTTGATCATTATATCGTATAACTTCTATTCTAGGTTAGCAACTTTTGCCTAAAGCTATAGTTTTTTTTTCTATTGGTTCATTGAAGTAAGTAAAATGTGGTAAACAATTTTTTATCATCGGTTAGATAGATACATCAATAACTAAAGGAATGTTAATGGCTTTTCTGGTAATTTTCTTTGATGAATACAACTTACATATTATTATACGATCCAAGCATCAAACTTTATAAAAAATTTGAATCGATGCATTGTTTCGTAATTGAACTATCGGTTATTCTATTACAATAAACTATTTAGTGACCAACTAAACCGTATGGCGTTAAGTTACCTAGTAAGTGATTTTAGTTAGTGTAAGGCAAAACCAGGATTTATTTGTTCAATTTAATTATAAAATAAGCTTTATGTTCTTTGGAGTTCTTTGCCAGTGAACGTAAACCACTAGATGGATTGATAATACGATATTATGTGAATAGGTGTATTTATTCGTTTTTGTAGAATTATTTTTCAAATCAATTCTTTTGTTTCTGTTTTATTTCTAGGTGGACAATGTGCCAAATTCAAATACTGTTGTTATTAATCAAAATAAGAAAATTCAACCAAATTCAATTTCATCAAACACCAATCAATTAGCATTATATCTTGTTAGTTTCAGTTGGTTATTCAATCCAGTCACAGCAATAGTCTCTACTCGTGGTAATGCAGATAGTTTACAAAGTTGTTTTGTTTTAGCCTGCCTATGGTGTATTCTAAAGCATCGTATTATTGCTGCAGGATTTTTATATGGATTATGCATACATTTACGTATCTATCCAATTATTTATGCACCATCAATTTATTTATGGTTAATGATGATTGAAATGCGTCATGACAAAGATAATCCAAAGCAAAGCAAATTATCAACACAATCTCAAAGTATATTATTTTCAATGATATTCAAATTACCAACTAGAAATCATTTTATTTTTGGTATCAGTTGTTTGCTTAGTCTGGTGATATTGACTGGATTAGGTTATTTGTATTTCGGTGGAATGTTATTTCTGCAACAAGCCTATTTTTATCATTTTACTCGATCAGATTTTAAGCATAATTTTGCTCCACATTTCTTGAGTGTCTATTTACTTTCTGGACAGAAATGGATAGCTGAGAAACAGACTTTACCTATCTATAATTTACGTCAATGGTTGAACAATGCTTGGAATGATTTCTCTACTCTGTTAGCTTACTGGGGTAACACTGATAATGTTGGATATTCTTATTTAATATGGGATTTGTTGTTGAAAAATCTTGGTGCACCAGATGTTTTAGAGCGTTTGTTCAATGTGACTTCAATAATTCCATGTATAATTTTAATTCCGTGTCTGTCTTTCAAACTATATTCCAATATGAGTTTGTGTTGGTTTGTGCTTACCTACATGTTTGTCACATTTAATAGGGTGAGTTAAATATTGTGAATTTTGATAATGAATTATTCTTTCGTTTTTCCCTGTGTCTATCTATACTGAATATTTGTGTTGCATCCGACCAACAAACCGCATGTAGGTTTTAGATCTCCGGAGCCACTATTCAAAACTATGATTTACGTTGTATTTTCTCAACTTTTCATATGACAAATAAGATATCATTCACGACAAATTGGATTCATCAAATGAGACCATTCTTTCTATCTTGTTTGTCATTGTTTCAATTTATATTACATTGAAAATAGAGAACTACCGTATCAAATTATCACTTTGTGCTGTCGCATCCAGGAAACAAATTACTGACTTTGGAACTAAGCACTAATATTAATTACCCAGCCTCAGAAACAGTAGGAGATGGCATTAGCTTCGAACGTAGAATCTAGTGATTACAAGTAGAATCACGTAGCCACTTTACTGATAAGAAATTTCAGGCTGCTCCAAATGTATTGTAAATAGAGTATGCATTTTAGAATTTCTAATTGTCAAGTTATTCGGGCGATTCCCAGCTGTTACTGAAGGGTTTAGCTTGTCTCTTGGAGATCAGATCATCGGTTAGCTCTATTGTGATTATTGTTTTTCATTTCGATCAGTTTGAGATAACTCACTCCTTTCCCATTCGTTATCAATTTCTAGGGTATAAAATATGTGTTTCAGATACTGTATGGAAGGTAAATTTTACCCTTTCATAACCAAAAAGTAATCAAAGACTGTTAGGTCGAATTTTGAATAGAGGTTGTTTGAATCTGTTTCAGCAAGAGTTTATGTATTTTTGTCTTTCATTTAGGTATGCACTGTTCAGTATTTCCTATGGATTCTATGCCTTCTTCCAGTTGCTTTGGCTGATATACGTCTACCTTTAAATATTTCACCATATTACGCTGTAGTACAAAATTTAATGTTATGGTTTGGATCTCAAGGTATATGGCTTGCTTCTGCCTATGCACTTGAAATGTGTACATTGCAAGGAGCTATGTTAAATCATATTATTTGGATATTTGTTTGGATAGCTTCGCTAAACTTTTTTGCCTGTAACATTTTCATTTTGTATCGTTTAATCAGTTGGCGTAATAAATCTTCATCTAATGCTAATTAAAAAGTTTCATTGTCTGCATTGATTAGTTATAAAGCTACCATTTCCCCTGTTATTTTATGTTTTACTAATTATTTTAAAAACGAACACTACTACTACTACTACTACTGTTTTTGTCAGAAATATAGCATATTTATGAAAAAACAAACTTTGTGATAAGAATTTTATTTGTTTGCATAACCCACATTTCACATTGATTGTTGTTGCAAATGTCGATAAATTTGTCAAAGAATTTTTATTTTTTATTTATTGACTTATTTTCTTCATATCAATAAAAAAATCGGTGATATAATTTGAACCGGTAAAAATCAAAAAAATATACTTTATCATTTTAAAAATAATTTCTTTTATTTTTTCATAGATTTTTTTTTAAAAAGAAAGTTTCTTGTATATCCCTGTGTGTGTTGTTAATGAAATAATTAAACATCATAACTTCTCAATGCATATATATATTGTACATTTAACTGAAATGATTCTTCATTGTATCATTAAAAATAATCATAATTCTTTTCACGTTTTTGTTAGTTAGTTTCCCAGTAATTAAGGGGATTAGTTGACGGGTTCTTTCCAACTTTAAATAGATCCTGATATTAAATAATGAGTTGTTTCTTGATCATTACATACAGATTCATGTATTCTATGTGTTGACGGACATGTGTGTTCATGAAAAGTTTCATGATACGTAGAGGGGATTTCCAATCGAAAGTCTGTTGGTTAGAAAACTAATCCAACTAATAAAACGCTACTGCGATAGTTTTTATCACTTGTGGCAGGCTATTAGTCATACTGTAAATTCAGTTGCATTAATATGGTGTTAGGATATTCATCCAATATCCTAAGAGAATTATTGATCAATTCCTATTGGTTGGTTTCTGCTGGTCAGTTTTATGATCGTCCTAGATATCATTGTCATGTACTCCAATGTTGTTTCGTATTGGTCGTCCTGAATCTCAATGTCACTTCAAATGTTGTTTCCTATTGGTCGTCTTAACTGTCAGTGTTACAGACTTCGATGCTGTTTCCTATTCAACCGAAATGTATAAATACGCGTCATCTGTAACGTTCTATGGTCCTTAGTCCGGGATCCTGATTCTCTTCTGGACTCGGACCTCGTACTTTCTGGATGCTTGTAGAATACAGGTTCTACTTCTTATCAAGTCTTCTTTTTACTCAATATGCGGGTTGGGACACTCGGATTAGCGTAGCATATCGTGTCACCGGATCCTCGATCCTTGCTCTCGTTCACTGACTTGAATGAACTCGTAAGGGTCCCAGCATATCAAATGACGTGTTTACTTGCATGCTTAGCATATGGGTCGTTTTAATGTGCACTAAACAGTAGATGTATTATTTCTGTTTTCTTCAGCATGTTGATAAATATACACGGTGTTTCTGTAATTTCGCCTCACAGTTTCGTTAGTATTATTCCATTCTTCATGATATGTTCATTAAATACAATAAATCAGATTAGAAAATCTTCACAAAAGTAGTTTTTGATTATTAAGGAAATATATACATATATATTTATTCTCTCGTTGTTTTAATTGTCACACGAGAATCTAACATCCTAGTCAATGTTGGAATATTTGAAATACCAGCTGATAAGCAAAAAGATTTTCATCGAATCTCTTGCTAAGTAACTTTAGTTACTTAGCAAGTACAAGGGGAACAAGCCATTGGTTATTGATGTAAGCTTAATTACTGAAATCGTTCATTGAATTCTTGATTTTAGTCACTGGAAAATTGGTTAGACTTTCAGTATTCACTTTAAAATTGATTTTTTATTGTATTACTTTTTGCTTTATCTGATCACCGTATACGAAAGTTAGATACATTTTTTCTTGACGTACCTGTAACTAATGCCTAATAAAAAAAATGAAATGTAAGAGTTAAAGTATAAACCTACTGACATTTATCATTTAGACTATGTAAGCATCCGAAATTCAGGCACCAAGCAATGGGATACATTGCACAAACGATAGATAAATTGTAAGGAGAAAGCACTAGACTTGAAGAGAATAGTTAATAGCTCAATAAAATATTTAACAAAAGAGGTATATAACAGAAAAGACATTTCAGTTAGCAATTACCTTTGAATACAGTAGAAATAATAATACTTGATGCATATATAATGTCAGAATAATTTTCAAATAAAACAATCTACACGTACTAATATTTTTCCTTGTATTTCATAGACACATAATTACAATAACAAAAAGTAATTCGAAAGTAACAGAACCAGATACAGTGTAACTTGCTTGTTAATATGAGGCATCAACAACCGTTGCTTGTATGCACGTATTTCAAAGTGTCAATGACCTTTCGATAAACACCTGAAACAGACAATTCTGAAACACTTAGCTGTATTATGTATCAAAATGTAATTTTCATATCCATAATCACAATTGTCAATATTCAATGTTTATAGAAATGTTTGACAATTTAATAACGTATAAGAACGTAATGAATGTTAACATTATCGGTATGAAGTAGCTGTTGTGAATTACCTGTTAATTTTTTTATGAGATTTACAGTTTTTATAAAATAGCAAGTTAATATTTTAGGCTGAGCATGAGACTTATGATTTAGGGAATGTTGCATATATGATATTGCAGTATGATAAAGGACATTTTTAATTTCAAAATAACCTTTAGTAATTAGAATGAGTAAAATAGATTTTTGAGACAAATGCCAATGGCGCTTTTGCAATTTGCGACGTGTAGGTGTTTAATTAAAGGGTGAAAAAGAGCATTTTACTCGTCCAACAATATTTATTGCTAAAAGAAAATATAAAATAATATTTTCTTGTTTTGATTGATCTCATTTAATGCTAACAATTGATAATGTTTTAGTCGAAAATCTGTGAACCCTAGTATAAACTGTCTGAAGTCCTATCATAACATACTTTTGAACATTTTTTTTCTTCGGAAAATGATCAATAACGAGACGATCTGTATTGATATTTATAAATGTTTGTCTCAGTTAGAATGCCATCCAGCGTGCCAAATTTATTAAATATCAGATAAGATTAAATTCATGCTTAGTTACTATCATCATGTGACTCTATCGCGTTTTTATGAGGCATTTCATTTAGAATTTGTGTAGAATCCAGTCAGTGTTTGCTTTCATCATATTCGTGTTAGTAATAAGCGAGAACAACTAGGGTTATTTCGATTGGTACATTAACTTTATAACATTTATTCACTGGACAGGATTATTTCTAAATTCATGCTTTCTATTTTAAGTTCGTTCACGCTTAAATGACTATGAACAGAAGAGATTTCAAAAATATTCAGGTTATTTTAAATAAAATAACATAGATGGAGTTCATTTCAATTTTATGTCTGTAATATCATTTATTGCGAGTTTAACTAATTTCACGTGATCGACATTTTAAATGTTCATACATAATTTTGTCATTTGTTTCGAAAAAAAAACGCAACCAATTTTTTTACCTTAGGAAAGCAAACTATTTCACCTACATACAAAACCATAAATCTCTAACCCGATAGAAGCTGTTATTGTCTTTTTCCGAGCTTAAATACTTAGCAAAACTATTAAATAACACTTTGTTACTTTTATATCGAGGTCAGAAATGATGGAATGAATTCAATATTTATGTATGTATAAATCTGTTGTTTGAATAAGTAAGTTCCATTTGTGTATCTATTTGTTGTACAGATTTAAGAAGAAATTAAAAATATGACAGATTTTATAGAATGTTTAAATGAGATTAAGTAAAATTATGAATAGATTCATTGTGATTAGTGCTAAGTGTATTAAAATCTGTGTATTATATTAGACGGCTTATTTCAACAACCAAGCCTTATATTCCTTTGTCTTTAGTAATAGGGATAATTAGTAAAGAATTGAGAAATATAGTTTTATGAAGATTTAGTCATGTTTTCAATTATGGACAAAATAGTTTTTCAATGATTTCTGTTATCGACTAGTTAGTTATCCAACTGTTAATAGAATTGGGTAAAGATTAGAAATATATTTCAAATGTGGTTCTAAGTTATCAGTCATTTAAGGTTGGTTAGAAAGAAGGTCACTCTCTCTGTATTACATATACTTACAAAGACTTTAAAAATCATGCTAAAATCTTTATTGAGTGTAAAACAGCATGATGTATTGATATACTTGAACTATTACAAGTTCACCTTACTCGGTAAACGGAACGAAGATCAATGATTCAGCGACACGATAGGCTACTCTAATCCGATCGTCCCAGGCCCCACTAACTAGAGGAAGAAGTCTTGATAAGACGTAGAGAAGTGTATTCCACAGGCAACCAGAAAGTACGAGGTCGACAAGCGCACAACTCAAACTTATTTATACAATCATAAAACGCCCTTGGTGGGAGCCACAAAATAGCGTACTAAAATAATCCATCAACCAATAACTGTCAAGGATTCCCGGAGTGGGAAACGCAAGCTGAAGGACCTTCTCCAAGTGAGTTCTGGAGATCTAACGTTCCAAAAATATATAAAATAAAGGTATGTTCCATTCCTAAGGAACTTGTATGTACCAAATATTATTTCTGTAACAGTTTATTTCCTATGAAATAATTTAGAACGAAAAATTGCATTTAAAGTTTTTCGCGTTCCATTGAAAAAGATATGGATTGATAAGCACAAATGGAATTCACAATATAATGTTGAATGTTATGTTTCTAAAAAAAGACCCAATATTATAATCAACTAGTTAAAAAACAAGAATACTGTTTACATGAACTAATTTATATTAGAGATTGCTTTTTCTCTGATTTTATAGAATGCAACAATTCCCGGAAGCTTTAAATTTTTCGATAGTGTTTTGCTAAATGTACTTACTTACTTAAGTCTGCTACCCTTGATGGAGCAGAGACCTCCGACCAGCATCCTCCAATTTACTCTGTCCTGGGCCTTCCTTTCCACTTCTATACAACTCTGTTCATTCTTTTCATGACTGCTTCCAATTTGCGGCGCTGTGTGTGCTTTGGTCTTCCTTTTCTCCTTTAGCCTTGAGGATTCCAAGTCAGGGCTTGTCTTCCTATTGTTGGACGTAGTGTCAATAAAGTGATAATTTATAGTATATATATATATATATATATATATATATATATATAAACCTACTTTTACATTTCAGTAATTTCAGCTGATCAAAAGAAATTGATGTTTCTTTACATAGAATTTGTAATGTAAACAAATCTTAGACGATCGAATTGGTAACGCCAACAATTATTCAATCAATCAGTCAATCCGTCTATCCATCAATTTGTAATTTAAATTCTAGTTATCAATAATTGGTTATCTCACTGAATTCAAGAAGTATGTGCATATATATATATATATATATGTATGAGTTGTATTTTTTTTCTTTTTCAGCATTATTTATTATTTTATGCTGTCATTATTTTCGAATCACTATCATTGTGTGAGGCTAATTCAATTTGAAATTTCAACCAATCAAATAAATCGAATTGAACATTTAAATAAGAATATGTGTGGGAGATTTTACACTAAAACGTGATTGACTAAATTAAACAGTAGTCATGAATTTTTATCCAATAGTTTGATGCCAAATATCATTGCACTATGTTTTTCTCGTGTATTGCAATGCTATCTATATATGTTTACATAAATATAATTGAGGCAAACATTCTTCTACATTTAAGCTTATTTGTGTATTTTTGCAGTTGATAGACAATATCACGGAATACAAATAAGTTATGTTCTAAGAATCATAAGCACAATAACATTCCTACTCTAATGTGAATGAATGATAAGAATGTTGAAATATTGTAAACACTTTAGCATGAATTTAATTTAATTTTAATTAACACATAAATGCAGTCATTGGATAATAAAAATCAAACAAAAATGATTTACAGGTATGTTGTCTAGTAGATCAATGAAAACTGTGCACATTTTATCATTTAAAGTCAATGAAAGTTTATTTTTTTAAAAATATTAATTCAGTACTTACTTACTTTATTTCTATTACATTTTTCACACAGTTTATTATAAAAATAAAAATAAAAATTACTAAACATTAATGTTTATAGTGTTATTTTTTTGTCAAATTAATTCGGCATTTCTAGAAGAATCTTATTACAGAACTAATAAAAGTAATCTTTCACTGAATGACAATCAATTCAAGTGTTGTCAATTGTTTACAAATACAAAATTGTCATCTAAATCAATCAGTTATAAAAAAAAACTGTGATTAATATACTTTGGTTGCATTGATCTTGTCAAGTAGTAGAGTTGAACCAAATAATGATAATAATTTGTAATCTAATCGAGTGAGTCTAACGATTACAAAAAGTAGTTGGTGATAGGAATTTTCATGTGATTATGAAATTGAATAAGATATTATCATTGATAGATGAACAGATTGAAAAATTGTGGAATTTCGGCTTCAGTATATTGTGTTTGCCTCTGTCATCATCAAAAAGCCAGGAGTACTTTGTTTTAAATCAGGACAAATATGATTGAGTATTATGTGATGAAGATACTATCAAAAATGTCGTTGACATTTTTTTAGAATTAAGTTTTTCTAGAAAACATATTTGAGGGTTATCACTGCAGAAAGGAGGAAGCATATTTATCCTGCAGCATGTTTTAATGCTGCTTTATTTGCACAAAAATGTAACCATTATAAACAAATAAAGCAAGAATTTATTATGAATGCAGTTGACGTTATTTAAGAACTTTATACTTGTTTAATAGTTTTGAAGACTGATTTTCCGGTTTAATCATTGGGATTAACTTCTAGTAATATCTGATAATTAGAATCTTCGTTTATTCACTGTGAGTCTTTAGTTGTAATGTATAATAAAATAGCATATTTTTTCAGAATTATAAGTTAGTTTTATTTGAATGATTATCTTGATCAAGTTTTGAATTATTGTTTTTACACATTTGAAATCATCAATCAATCATTGTTAGAACACCATTAGAAACGTGGAAGCACTGGACGGCTGTTTCGTCCTGGTATGGGACTCGTCAGCAGTGCGCATCCACGACTCCTGCACCTCACAGGATTCGAACCCGAGACCTTCGATCTTGCGCGTGTACGCTTAACCATCGGACCACTGGGCCGGCATCCAACGGCGTTAATGTCTCACTCTGAATGAATGCGCACAAGAATGAAAGTCCCGGGTTCGAACCCTCCCAGGTGCAGGAGGCGTGGGTGCGCACTGTTGACGAGTCACATGCCAGGACGAAACGGCCATGCAGTGCTTTCAGGTTTCTAATGATGGTCTAACCATGATTGATTTGTGATTTGATTGTGTAAAAACACTAATCTCCATAACTTTAAATGAAAATTATTATTATTATTATTCAATAATTAATTGACATTATTATCATTTATATTATTATTACTACAGTATTTGGCTGTCAGTGAACTAGACATAAGAAGAACACTATGTATGACCTGAAAATACATTTAGTTCACTAACGTAATTGATTTTTTGTTATTACATTTTCCATTCATGTATACATATACATACAATTATATATTCACATGCTAATAAGAAAAAATCTCAACATTGAAAAAACAAAACAAACATCAGACAAAATTACTGACACTCATGTATGTGATTCTTTGTATGGTATTTGAAAATTAAGCGGAAAAAAAATAAACACATTAGGTAACAATTAATGAAAATTCATATCTAACTTCAATATATAAAAGTCAGCATGAAATTGTTTTAAATGAGATCGAATTTCCCTGAATAACTTTGTCTTTTTTTTTCTGCCTGTATTCATTTGTAATCACTTTTTTGTTTTAAATACTTAAAATTGTACAATACTTGATAGATTTGTGCTACATTTCAATTAAAGTGATATAACTGTGAAATTTATGGTAGTTTAAACTCCTAAGTCAAGCTAGAAGATACTGTTTAGAAATTTAAAAATGAAATTATACCAAAGCATAAAATGACCTCTAAAATATAAACTTAGTTTAAAAGTTATCTAATAACAGTCTGTTAATTTGATCTATTTTTTTCAAGGAATTAACAATCACCGACTTGATTGTCTTTTTCAAAAGGAAAAAAAATGTCTCTGAATCTAATTAAAAGTCAATGAGAGTATTGAGAATATCATTAAAATTGAAGATGGTTAAGTTTGAGGAACTACATTTTTTTTCCTAGAATTATTAGCTGGAATTTTACAAGAAATTAATTAGTTTACAGTTGATGCCTTAAAGTTAATGCAACTAATCACAGGGAATAAATTTTGTTGGTACATTTTCTAGTCATAAAATTTTCAAGCAATTTTTAAAGATAAATAAGTTTATTATAAGCAAGTCGTTTTTATCGACATGTAAGATTTGATTAAACTAGAAATCGAAATCTACACTTTATTTAAACTTGTAACAGTTAGTAAACCGATTAGTGAGTTAAACGAGCTTTTGAATGGAATTTAGGATTTCGGAGGTATGATTTATGGAATAAATCAAATTGCAAAGGAAGTAGTATCTCTGTGATGGTGTTGACCGATGATTGAACTGCATCCCCAATCGAATGGATTTGAAAAAAATATGACCTAATATGGTTCAAACTACTGTGATCTTAAGTTATAAATATTCATAGAACTAGTTTTAATGAATAATTAAACTCGTTAAAATGACGACCAACTGATCTTAGCAAGACCATTATCAGGAACCTGCAAGCACTGGATGGCTGTTTCGTTATAAAGTTTCCCATACCAATACAAAACTGTAGTCCAGTGCTTCCGAGTTCCCAATAATGAATGGTCTTGTTAAGATCAAATCCTTTTCAATAATAATTAAACTTTGCCAAACAACTTTACAAATGTTCTGTAATATTCAACGATTCCTTTGGTGATCTCGTGTTTACTTTTAAACGTAATATTTTGAATAATATTTGCTTAGAAGATACTAAGAATGTAGGTGGTAAATTTGTGAGTTTATATGAAATTTATCATTAGCAATATTTTTTTCAAACTATTTACTTTTTCCTAAATCAATAAACTGTTTCATCCTACCATCGTTTCTTCAATATCCTCCTGTTTACTATTTACAAGTCATTAAGAAGGTATGAACGTTGAACAAACCAATAAATTATGTTTATCAATTTATTTTATTTTGCGTATTTCTGGGCTTTGTTTGTAATCCGAAATCGATTGAAATTTCTGTGAATTACTGATATTTTTTCCTTTGTTTTGCAATGAATAATCGGTTTTTTGGATAATGGTGTTTTATTGTCGTAAATAACAGTAATAATCAAAACAACAACTACAACAACAAAGGAACTGTTCAATAAGAAGCACAAGCTCAAAATTCAAACATTTTTACCTATTATTTAGGCTTAACTGTTTTCTAGGACATTACGGTGTATCTTCACCTAAAATTTATTGTATACTAGTTATGAACTATTCTCAGGATTGAAATTTTGAAAAGACAATTTTTCTTTAAAATTTACCACATTACAATCAGTATGTTGATGAAATTTCATTCATAGTGCTTCTTTCTCTAGCCTATAATTATTGAAGGAACTAAGTGTAGCTTTGCTTATCTACAGTCAGATTTCATTTCACCTAACTAGTTTCTGTTATTTGTGATAAGAAAAAAAATTTTGAAATGAGAAATTATTGCTTTCACTTTTTTCCTTAATTTAAAAAAATATTTTTATCCTCTAGTAATTTAGTTTTTGAAAATGTTTTAGAAATTCACTTTGAAATCCGATTTTAGAGTTTGATAATTTAGTCTCTTTCTTGTAGAGATTAGTTTCGTGAGTTTTTTTACTATGTTTGGGTGTATTAAATACTACATGCAACAATACTGTTGATATGAATTTAAATTGTTTACTAATCATTCATGTTGATTGGAGCCAATGTTTAATTAGTATTTTATTTGTTCTATTCTTATAAAGATTGATGTTTGTACAGTTTTCAGTACGATTAAATATTTCTTAGTTATATGAGAAGTCATGGTCAGTGAAATTCAACCCTGATTGGGTGTGAAGCAGTGCTCACTGAAGACAGTGTATTGAGGTTGCGCAAGACCATGGATAGAGCAGACAATAACACCGTTAGATATCAGTTGAACTGATATCTAACATCCATCCATCCATAGTGTATTACGCATAAAAATTTCTTAAAAGTAGTCACTATAATACCATAACGAATAATCAGTATAAATCAAAAGCTTACTTCCTTCCAATAATTAATATGTAAATGTTAGGTTCGTCATTAGGTATGCTTGAAACTATTACGGGTTCACCTTAGTCGATAAACGCGAACGAGACAATGAACCAGCGTACAGGTAAACTACCTTGAATTCCAAACTGCAAAACAGAAGTCTTGAAAAGCGTAGAAAGTAGGTTCTACAAACAGCAAGCGGAATGCAATCAAGCACACAAATCTCGTTTTTATTTATACATCATAGAAACGTCCTTGGGACAGTTAGGAAAATAGCACACTAAAATACACAGCAGTTCATTATAGCCAAGAATTTTCCTGGTGGGAAATGAAATCTCAAGGTCAACTGATCAGCCCATGCTGGCAAACGTGAAATCCAAAATAAGTCATTTATCAAGCGAGTTCTGTGGACCTAACGTCCCCAACAGTAAGTTAGTTTATTTATTCTGGTAGATGCTTGAAATGAGTCGAAGTAAAGTTGTTTTCGCTTTGGTCAAAATATTTTTCATATTGCTATTGTTAAATTATGATCTTAAGTAATACGGAGAAGAATCGTGCCTACTTTTTAATGAACTTTGGAAAAATGCTGTTCAAAATCTGTTTTGAGTTTTGAATAAAATACAATCATACTAAAAGTAATTCATCATTATAATTAAAAAAGCATTGATGAATGATTTCAAAAATTAAAATAATGAAAATGAATAATTCTTATTTTCTA